CTTTAACACTGCACTTCTTGGGAAATGTATCTGGAGGTTTGGAATGGAAAGAAAAGATTGGTGGACTCTAATGGCAGCTAAATACAATACTGACAGTGGGGATTGGATTACTAGCTCTTCTTTCAGCTCTCTTGGCTGTTCAATTTGGAAAAAAAATCATGGACATTCTTCCTGTCTTCAGCAGAGGATTGAGACCCAGGTTGGTAAAGGGGATAGACTGCTTTTTTGGAAGGACCCATGGTGTGGGCAATCTACTCTCTCAGATCAATTCCCGCAGCTTTTCCAAATTGCAAAACCTCAGGATGTGTTCATCTTGGAGTATTAAGAAGTTAATGGAAGCTTTTTTATCTGTTGCCCTTCTTTTAGAAGGAATTTTCAAGATTGGGAGAATGAAAACATCACTGAACTTCTGGAGCTGATTTCCCTTTAGCCCCTGGATTTGTGGAGGATAGCTGGGTATGGAGTTGGAGTTCAGATGGCCAATTCTCTGTTGGATCTTTTGTTAGACATTTGTCTAACCTTAGTCCACGGGATTTTTCTGCTGCTAAAGTTTGGAATTCTATAGCCCCATCAAAGGTTAATGCTTTGGTTTGGGCTGCATCATTAGATAGATGTTTAACTAAAACCCATCTGTTAAAAAGAGGTATGTAGATCCGGGATTTAGTATGTGTACTATGTGGGCAAAAACAGGAAGACAGTATCCATCTGTTCATCCACTGCTCTGTCTCGACAAAAATCAGTACTGGGTATTAGCTGGGCCATGCCAAACACTGTGAAGGAGCTGCTGAACTGCTGGGAGATGCAGGGGGCTGTCAAAGCTTGCAAGAAGCATCTGGGAGACAATTCCGGATGCTGTAATCAGCTCTATATGGACAGAGAGAGACAAAAGAATTTTCCGCAGCATATTCAAGGACTCAGAAGATCTTATTGCTTTTGTCTTTGGAAAACTTCTTTATTGGGTCTCTGCTGTCAAGGGGTTTCAGGCCACCCAATTGGGGGCTAGGTTGTATTTTGGGGGTTTCTGGAACTTGTAATGACCTGGAATTCCTGCTGTCTCGGCCCAAAAGATATTTTTGGGGGGGACTCTCCTGTATCATTATTTCTGAATTAATAAAAGTTTACCTTACCTTTAGTAAAAAAAAAAAAAAGACAATTCAAAAAAGAGTAGTTTTTTTTTAAGTATCTGGGACCTAGTAGTTAAAGGGTTTGTTAATAAACATGCTTCTTGGAGGAAAATTTATTTGTCTTTAGGGGGAAGGATCACTATGATAAGAGTGACTCTGATCAATCTGCCTGTGTATTTTATGTCTGTCTTTAAGGCCTGTGAATGTGAGTAGAAAATTGGAAAAGTTGATGAGGGACTTCTTGTGGGAACTGGGGGAGGAGAAAAAGGATGATAGAGTTAACTGGGAAATGGTCAGTAGAAGCAAGAAGTTAGGCGGGTTGGATCTAGGCAATTTACAAGAGAGGAATATGGCTCTGTTGGGAAAGTGCCTTTAGAGGCTTCCTATTGGATAAGGACAAGCTTTGGGCTAAGATAGTGATAGGCATTCATGGGCTTGCAGCTGACGGTTGGGATGCTGGATTAATGACTGGGGATAACAGAGCCTCTCCTTGGAAGGTTTTCCATGCCATCCTCCCGTTTTTCCTACCTTTATTCAGGTATGACCTCTATTTTGGTAAATCTTATAAAATTTTGGGAACAAGCATGGGTGGGTAACTTCTCTCTGAAGGAAAAATTCCCCTGTTTTTGCCCTGTCAAGATATAAAGATAAACATGTGTCCTCTTTCCTGGTTCCTTTAAACTTGAGGAATGGTGTCAATAGGGATTTGGGTTTGAGAAGGGGTGTGAGGGATTTGGAAATTGATGATGTTTTGGACTTGATTCGTATCCTTAATGGGATTTATTTGGATTCCTCTAAACCTGGAAGTTGTATTTGGACCTTATCCTCCTCTCCCGGTGAAGGAGGTCTGGGGTAATCCCATCCCTCCAAGAGTTGGAGGTTTTTGTTGGGAAGTCTTCCTGGAAAGAATTAATACTTGTGACTTGCTCCAAAGTTAAAGGACTGATTGGTGTTTATCCCCAAAGTGGTGTATTTTGTGTAAGGCTAATGGAGAAACTTGCTTTCATTTATTAATTTCCTGCCCTTTTGCAACCTTTGTTTGGGAATGATTTTTCTCATTGTTTGGGTGTAGGTGGTCTCCCTCAGCTAATGTGCAAAGCTTATTGGCTTTTACTTTCTTGAGATGGCCAAAGAAAAGGGGACGAGTATTATGGAGATGTGTAAGGGTGGCTGTGAGCCGGACTTTATGGGAAGAAAGAAATGCAAGATTATTCTTAGATAAGGAAAGAAGTAGAGAAGCTGTCATTGAAATCATTATGGTGAGAATGGTTCATTGGGTAAAATCTATGAAGTTATTTGCTGATTTCTCAACAGGTGATTAGTTCTGATTGCCACAATGCTAATGTAAGCCCTGTTTGGTCTCCTCCAATGGTTGACTACGTTAAGTTGAACTTTGATGGGAGTAGTGCTGGGAATCCAAGCCCTTAGAGGGGTGTTTAGGGACAGTGAAGGCAAGATCATTGGTCTATATACTGGCTTGATTGGAATAGGTGACTCCCTAAGGGCTGAGGTTGTGGCAGTCATGGAAAGAATGCAAAAGGAAAAGATATGAATGTGAGAAATCTGATTGTACAAAGTGATTCAAAGCTGGCATTAGAGTGGCTGCAAAAGGAAGATAAAGGTTTTTGGATTTTCAATAATGGAAAAAAAGAGATTCAAGTGGAACTGTGGAAGACTCAAGATATGGAAGTGCAGTTCAGCTAGGTTAAAAAGGCAGCAAATGGTTTTGCTGATGTTTTAGCAAAACAAGGGGTGGGGAGAAACCAGTTGTTTTGGGCTCAATAGAACATTAACTTCTTAACAAAAACATAAAAGTTAACCATATCTATGTTAATGACAAACTTGGAATTGAAAACTATGCCAATGTGTGCATGGATGCTCATGCATGCATGCACACACATGGACTTTTGCGTGGTACACTGACCACACCAACCATCTTAACTTGGTTAATTCAGAGTCATAGGCTTGAATGAATCTGACACTGGACAGAACGGAATGGTGGCGCAGGATTCATGTAGTGATTGTAGCCAGCCCCATATAGTTGGGACAAGGCTTAGATAATGATGAGGCTTGAACGAATCTGGTCAGTCACCAAGTTTTAATATCGTGGTTCTTGCAAGCTAATAAAAATGTTAATTGCTCATCAAAACTTGGTTCACTATGGGCTTGGAAGGGTTCTCTACTTTTCATTGCAAGAGTTCTTATAGTTGTGCTGGGAAGGGTGAAGCTTTGTTATATATAGAAGTTTAGGCGTGCTTAGTTTGTAAGTAAAGCTTCTTGACATGGACAAGGATCTTATACATTGTTTCTGAAAGGTTTGCCTTAGAAAGTTTGTGGTGGTAGTGGGGGAGGGATTATTTTGCTTTTTCCGGTAAACTGTATTCTCCATATCAAGATTATGGATATTTTTCCATGGTATTATTGTCGTCACATTATTTACCATCTTCAGCATATATTTGACATTTTCAGTTCTAGGAATATACATCCTTTTCTGAAAGGTATTTGATGGAAGCGATTATACTCAACCATTTTCTTGTTTAAACTACAACACCCTTCTTTTATTAATTCACATTAGTCCACTATTCGATTTTGATCAAAACCACAGGCATTAGATATTTGTTGTGATAGCATACATCAATGTTTTCAACCCGCCATTGACCCGGCCATTCAAACCGTCACCCAGCCAGGATTCAGGGTCCGGTTCAGTCAAGACTCGTCAGACGGTAAAAAAACGCTGACTTGGCCAAGAACTATTCGGCACGTCTGGTTGAACCATTGACCCGTTCGTCCTGGTGATCGGGTCACGGGTTGCACAATCAATGCATGCAAAACTTTTGGAGGCCATAACTTTGCACTCTGATGACCAATTGGGGTAATTTTTTTTTTTATTTTGGGTAACTTTTCAAGATCTATGTGTCCCAAGGAGCCATAGGCGCCTTGACCCACTATTTTTGCGAAAAATCCCTTTTTAGCCTCAAATTGCAATTTTTAATATTTTATAAATTAAAAAAAAATTAAAAATCGAATTAAAAAAATATACATTAAATATAAAATAATACATATAACATATCTAAAACATATTTATACATTATTTATTGCTGAAATATATATATTTATACACAAATATAATGTGTGTGTATATATATATACTTATACACATACATGTGATGATGTGGCACGGTCTGAACCATTCGACCCAGCTGGTCGAACCAGTGACCTGCGACCCAGAGGCAAAAATGGTTTGGCCTCCGGGTTGGTTTTTAAAACACTGGCATACATGGTTATCAGTATATGAATTCCTAAAAAGGGGTGGGGTGTCAGTACATTATAAAGACTTTTTAAATTGTCTGGAGTTGTTAAACAATTTAGCACGTTTTTTTGTGAACCTTGTTGTGCATGCCAACTCATTGTAATAACATCATTTGTTTCTTGTGATGAGCTCAATTTTTGTGTTACAATTCTTTATTTTTCTCTCTCTTTATCCTTGTATGCACTTGAAGTAAAAAATGATAGTGGAAGACGCATCTTGTTAGTTATGATCATTAAGAATGGGCATGTTTGTTGAAGTCTTGAAGAACAAGCACTTATATAATTCATAAAAGAAAAGCACTTATATACATGTTTATAATTTTGTCCCAACAGTTTTGACTACAGTGTGATGTTTGTGAAGAACAAGCACTTTTTATATTGCCACTACCACTCATTGGAATGATTACATACAAACAACTGTGTTATTTGCTGGAAATAAAGGAAAAAGTTATAACTTCTGGTTAAAAGATTGACTTTTTATGGTAAAAGATTGTATATTTTTACTTATCAAAAAAAAAGATGGTACATTTTTCAGCACCAATGTGATGTTGGGGTTGAAATGTGCAGGCACAGGCAGCTCTATCTGAGAAAGTTCCCACAGTTTCACAAAGTCAGGGAGCCTCTTCGACCTCAATTGTTAAATCATGGCCTCAATCTAGCAGCAGTGCACCAAGCATGTCTAAAGAGGTAAGGCTCGATTGTTTAATACAAAGAAAGCCTCTGCTGGCCACTGGTTCAACTAGCTTGTTTTCCTCTTTTTCTTTTTTAAATCTTGAACACAGTCAAACTCAACTATGCATCCTTCTCTAATCAGGAGGAGCTAAAGAGGGCAATCGATATAGAGAGAGAAAAGAGAGCAGCAGCAGCTGAGAGGAGAATAGCGGCAGCTCTCAATGCTCAACCAGGCAACACTACTGTGGCACTGGTACCCAGCAGTTCACAGCCCAAAAGTGGGGTAGCAGGTGACATTAGTTGTTCATACTGCAATATCTCCTTGGCTGGCAAAGTCCCATTCCATAGATATCACTACAAGTACTGCAGCACAACATGTATGCATGCACATAGGGAGATACTCGAGGCTGGATAAACCCACCATGCTTTCTGTTAATGGGTTGTGATTTATCAGGGTTAAGTTACTTATTCTTCATTGTGGGTGCATTGGATATTTCCCACCATGACATGAGAGGCTTTTCTTGTTTCTACCCTCATCATAAAGGTGGCTCATAAATTGCACAGATTGCAAGGCAAGTAGGAGGGGGCAGATAGTAACCAATTCCCTAGGTAAGAATATTGTAAGAATTCCAGTTTTATTGCAGCAACAGTTCAATTTGATGTGTAGATGTATCAACTGGCTTCGCCTTTGCTTTTATGACCAAACATTGTCTATTCATTTACATACAAAATATGTGGGGACCCTTATATTTATCCTCTATAGTAATGGCATGAAAACTACTTCTCATCCATTAATGGGCAAACCACAGTCCACAGGTCATGTAACGAGCAACGTGCATGGCTGCATTCTGTTTTGCAGTCTTTAGGGACCATCTCTCTTTAAATCTTTTGTTTCAGTTGCTGTGCTGTGAATGCGCACACCGACAAAAAACAATAAACTGAACTTCACCACAACTTCAAATCTCAATATCAAAATCAGCGAATGAAACCCCAAATATACAGAGAAGAAAGGGAGAGGATATGTGTGAACGGATCTCGATCTGTTTTTTTGACTCACGCATGTCGTTGTCGCGTTTAGATTGTAGTTTGTACCCAAATCAACATTTTTTTTTATTTTATATATTTTTTGCTCATTATTAATAGTTTAAGCAAAAGAAAAAAAAAAATAATCAACGTCAGATCAGAGATTCAGAGTAGAGGTCTGTCTACCTCTACCAGTAATTCAATACCGACACGAAGTCACGTGGTGTGTAATGATGTTTTCCTTCCCCATTCTCTCTCATCCAACGGCTGTACGTCCCCTCTTTAACTCGAATCTCAACGGAAACCGTCCGATTAGATCTACTCGCACGCTTATTTCCTTTTAACAAACATCCATCATCATCGGTCGTCATCCCTTCCCTCAGTCTTCACTCCTCACCCAGAACTCTTTTTCAGATCTAAGAGTTAAGACCTCTCGTTCTCTCTCGTCGGAGAGAGGGAAGAGGAAGTAGCTAGGGTTTAAACTTTAGGCGAAACAATTTTGCTCTTCTGAAACAGAGGCAGCGTGAGAGATAGAGGCCATGGTTGAAGCTCAAACATGGACGACGAGGCGGATGAGCAACCCAAGACTAGAGGCCGAGCAGGTGGTCGACATCCCTGCCACACCAACCGGCGATGTACGAAACAACAACATTGGAAGCCTGCTATCTCCTAATCTCTTAACGGCCCTGATCATCGCTTCCTGGTACTTCTCCAACATCGGAGTCCTCCTCCTGAATAAGTACCTCCTCAGCTACTATGGCTACCGCTACCCCATCTTCCTCACCATGCTTCACATGCTATCCTGCGCCGCCTACAGCTTTATCGCCATTCATTGGTTGGAGATCGTCCCCTTTCAGCACATCGTCTCTCGTCGACAGTTCCTCAAGATTGCTGCCCTCAGTGCTATATTCTGCTTCTCCGTCGTCTGCGGCAACACTTCTCTTCGCTACCTCCCCGTCTCCTTCAACCAAGCTATTGGCGCCACCACTCCTTTCTTCACTGCCGTCTTTGCTTTCCTAATTACCTGCAAGAAGGAAACTGCTGAGGTCTATCTAGCGCTCTTGCCAGTCGTTTTTGGTATCGTCTTGGCCAGCAATAGCGAGCCTTTGTTCCACCTTTTTGGATTTCTAGTCTGCGTGGGATCCACTGCCGGACGAGCTTTGAAATCGGTGGTTCAGGGGATACTACTGACGTCGGAGGCGGAGAAGCTTCACTCCATGAATTTGCTTCTGTACATGGCTCCCATGGCTGCTGTGATTTTGCTTCCATTCACCCTCTACATTGAAGGCAACATCACGGCCATTACGATGGAGAAGGCCAGGGAGGATTCTTTTATTGTTTTTCTACTAATAGGGAATGCCACGGTCGCCTATTTGGTCAATTTAACCAACTTCTTGGTTACGAAGCACACAAGCGCATTGACGCTTCAGGTGCTGGGGAATGCTAAAGCGGCGGTGGCCGCCGTGGTTTCGGTGTTGATTTTTAGGAATCCGGTGACTGTAATGGGGATGACGGGTTTTGCCGTCACAATTATGGGGGTTGTGCTTTACAGCGAAGCAAAGAAGAGATCTAAAGTTACGGCTCATTAGCCAGATTCTAATTCGTTCATTGCCAGCCAGGTATGCCGGATTAGCTTTTTCCCATTTTGTGTTTCATTTATCCCCTTTGTTCCTCTAAATCATCGCCTATAGCAAAAAAGGACAAGAAAGAGAAGCGAAACCGAATCGAATCAAATGACTGTATAGGGTGGACATTGGAGTAAAGAAAAGTGATCTCTTCTTTTCTTTTTCTTCTTCTTCTTCTTTAGTTCTGGTGGGGTGGTGAGAATGGAAGGAAGAAATTCTCTTTTTCCACTCTTCTCTGTGTCTGTAATTCTTATATGCCGGTTGATTGCAGCTAGAGCAAAAAGGTGACTGATTGGGATTCTTTTGGGTGATGTATGATAGTATTGTAGGGGGAGAAGTACAGACTAAACAAAAGCAAAACCTTCTCCCCCATTTCATCAAACTCAAACTGTCAAACACACCTGCTGTTTGAACTCTGTTTCTATTATTATTGTCATGTCGTCCCAATTTTTTCTTCCAATTTTAGTATATATGTTAAAGAAGGTTTGCTATTGTTAGCATTCTGTGGATTCTTTCAACTTTTGGTACCAAGTTCGCGCATGGATTATCTTTATGATTGTTTCGCTTTCATCTATTTTGTAAATAGTGCTCAACAAAGCAGTGGCTGATAGCGTTCTAGCTAAATGATTTCTGTTGGTGACCACCGACAGTGCCACAGTGGTAGTTTAACCCACATGGTTTAGTTCAAGGTTTTGATGCCCTGACTTGATCTATAGCTTGATAAACCTCTGGTTAACCTGTTTTCCATTAACTAGTGGGGGAAAAATTCTTATTCTCTCTGTTACTGCAATGGTTTTATAACCTTAGTGATCCTAAAACTGTCGGCTGTCCCTTGAGATAAATAAGAGATGTAGATGGAGACTGGTGTTTGTGAAAATCTGGGAAATCTTATAAAAAAAAAAGATAAAAAGTAGGGATTCATGCTAACGTTGTTCAATATCAAGGTTCAAGGGGCGTAAAGCGTGGTAATCAATCTTCAATCCCTTGAAATCTGCCCCATTTGGCTGATTCTTTAATATTTTAATTTAATTTGTCCTCTGAACATTCAACCATGTTCCAAGGAGCTTAGTCTTTGTTGCCTTATTGGTGAAGGCACCTTGGGGTCAAATGCCAAAAGAAATAAAGGACTTTCTTATTCATCAAATGCCTTTTTCGTTAGGCTTAATTTGTTTTTTTTAAGTTATTTATTTAAGTAAATGCATTTATCTGGGCAAATGTTTTGTGGGAAACATTTATCCCAGTAAGTGAATTCAGTAATATTCTTTTGTTTCCTAGATAAAAATTAAATAATAATCATTGTTTCCATAGATGTGTTAGGTTTGAATGGACAATATCGTTCATCATGTGTTAGCAATTTTTTTGGTAGATAGGAATGTTATTTATCCAAGTGAGTAGAGGATAATACTTACCTAGGTAACTAAGTGACATGTGAATTGGTCAATTCTTGCATTGACCAACTTATCTGCCATGTTTAAAAAAATGAATGAATTGACCAATTCATCTGCCCTATTTACAAAAATAGAAAAACGAATGTCATTGCGTTGAAAAATCCACCTTGTACTATGGAGTTAGTGACAAAATCCCCCTTGTACTTTTTTTTTTGGCAACAAAGACACCCCCCTGAACTTTAGCTGTTAGACAAAGACCCCCTTCTGTTAACATTTGTCAGTTAACTTCGAAAAATTTTTTATCCAAGTTTTTTAAATGTCCAAACTATTTATACTGTTCATTGTCTTCTCGATTGAAACCATTTTCACACCGTCCCAAACCCGACCATCGCCAGCCAATAGTGGCAAGGGCAAGACATTTCCCGCCATTTTGGCTGATGCTTGGGAGTTGGGAGAAGATTAGACAGTATGAGAGTGCACTATAGTTGGGACAAGCACTTCAGTCAGCATTTCCGGTTCTTCGATCGCCAGCATGACAAAAGACATGCCCAGAAAACATAACAGTCTTCGGTGGTCTCATTCCGGCAAAGACCTGTGCGACCTATCTGGTGTTCTCTAGGAGTGAACTGAGAGGCCCTGATATGGATGGATGCATTGGTGGTGGGCCATGACTGGGTCTGGATGTCCTGATGGTTGAAGCAAGTACTGATGGGTGGGAAGAAGCCGCCTGCGTATGCGTTGTTTCTTCCCAAAGTGATACAGAGATTCACCTTATTCACATCATTCACTAAGCTTCACCTTATGGGAACCGTTCCCTTGGGACATGTCTCCCCACTTAGATGCCATGTTTGCCATGCACGTCCTGTTCCTTCACTGCCATTAATCTTGTTTCTCATCCCTTCTTCCTTGTTCACTCTCATTCTTGGCATTTCTAGTGGTGCTTTCTGTTACAGACATACGAGCAAACTCATGAGAGAGAGATAGATAGAGTTAGCTTTAATTCTGCGTATGTACCTGGATCTTGTGATTCTTCATAAGAGGATGGTCTAAAGCTGGCTGTTTATGTCTGTGAACATGGTCAGCAATGATATCTCCATCTAGGCTCTGAACAAATGAATGAGAAAATGTTGGAACTTCAAAATAAGGTCTACCCAGGAGTCAATAAATCAGAATGAAGGATACCAAAGAACATGAGAGCAATGGAACGGTGATGATGAGAAAACTAACCTCTATGGTTTTAATGGTGGGATTGTTGATATTGTCCAAGTGTCTGAATTCTTGTGAGTCTCAAGCTCGATACATGAATAAAATTTGTGTAGTTCAAAGCCAAAACATCGACTGTAGATCTTTGGAAGAAAACAAGAAGGAAGAGAGCCAAAATAAGAAACTGAGAATTAGAGCCCGCTCTTCCTTCTGGTTTTGTGTAGTTAATGGCGAGCTCGCCTCTTCATTCTGGTTTCGTTATCCATTTCATTCAGTGCCACCAAGAAACTGAGAACCAGAGCCCTAGCTCTTCCTTCTGGTTTTGTGTAGTTAATGGCGGGTTCGCCTCTTCCTTCTGGTTTCGTTATCCATTTCATTCAGTACCACCAAGAAAATAAGAAGCCTAGGTCGCCATTACTGGTAAGACAAATAGCACAAACAAATCAGAGTCCTAGCTCTTAAATTCTTTCAGAAATCTCTATTTGGTACTTTCTTCAAGATATCCATTTCCAAGGTTAAAAAGGTTTTAAGGGAAAAAGGGCAAGAAAAAGAGAATAGAAAAGGTTTAGTGGGGTATTTTGTCTAATGGCTAAGTCAATAATTTTGACTGACTGATGGGTTTTAACAAAACTAGATCCAAAATCCTAGCCGAGTGACGGTTCGAATGGTTCAACCGACCAAGTCAACAATGGGTTGAAAACAYTGGCTATTTTAAAAAAGGGTAAAKTWCARRG